ACATTAGGTCAGATTACGAGGGTGATGACTTCCTCCATTTCCTCATTGTTGTGGAAGCACTCAGCCTCTACTGCCATCTCTTAGAACTTTTCGAAGAATTCCATGGCCATCTTGAACTGCAACTGCTGCAGTTTCTTTCACTGGACACATTTAATTTGGACCTCCACTACTTCCCAGAATTGTTTGCAAACACTCTCCTGGAAGGCTTCTCAGGTGGGAACACAATGCCTTCAGTTGTGTGGATCCCAGTAATGACATTGCTGGTGGATCCACCACTGCATCATGTTCCCATCAAACAGAGAGGCCATAGAAGACTACTCGCTCCAGTGGCAATCTCCCAATGATTTGGCAGATCAGGTGGCAAAGGAGGATTTTCAGGGTGAGGCAGGGATTGTAGATTCAGATCACTGTGGGGCGAAGGTGGTCCTGGGAAGGAGGGGGTACTGGTGAAGGTCCACCACCACCACCTCCACCTCCAAGTCCCTTAGGTCCACTGCCACCTCCTCCTGGTGTGGCTGGTGCAGGTCTGCTCTCTGATAGTGCTGAAGGTGCAGGATCTCTGCCCATGCTTTAGGCATGGAAACCACTTCCTCCTCCTCTGGCCTTGAGTCCCAGGGCACTGGAAGGTACCCAAGTAGGGTCGAGGATTGGGTTCCCCTGGCCCACAAGTATTGGGGATTCCACACTGGAGGAGAACATGTTAGTAGATCCATAGTACCACTTTCCTAGTGCTATGAGATGGTCAGGGTGTATCACATTCCAATGTCTGGTGGCATGGTACAATGTTTTGATATGGAGGATCCTGTCCTCTATATCTGAGCCCATAAGCACTGCCTTATAGGCCTGTCCTTGGTCAGATGTGGTCCAGGTCATCTCATATGGTAGGCACCTCCATGTCCAGTCTAATATTGGCTTCCATGTTAGACTATAGATTTCTTGGTCAGTGAGAGGCAAGAGAGGTTGGGGCTGTGTGCCAAACTGGCTCTGAGGATTCATCTCCTTGATGTCCTCCTGTCTCATCCTCTCCAGCCATTGTTCATATGTCTCCTCCCAGTCCTTGTTCCCAGGCAGGGAGGAATGGGTCTTCAACTGCTTCAAAAGTGGTTCTTCACCCTCATGCTCTATTTGTTGCCCTCCAGTCATCTGTGTGGTCTCTTCCAGTTCGTTCATCAATGATTCGGTTGAATACATCAATGTAGTACCTTCAGGCTCCTTTATGATAGAGCCGCTCTTCATCTGAGTCAACTCCTGGTATGGCAGCTCCATCTACTCGCCCTCTTCTGGGGGTCAGTACTCTTTAACATTGGTGAGGTTGGGTGTAATGAACAGCAACTGCTCCTAACAGAAATATGAAGGTGCCAAAGATGCTGAGAAAGATTGTGGTGTTTCTTTCTTCAGGAATAAGCAGCATAAAGCTCATCATGCAACAACAAGTATTTATAAGGCTCTGGATAATGTGATTACCATCGTAAAACAATGGTAGAACAATAGTAAGGGCAAGTGGTTACAAGCTTCAGCTAAATGTTAATATACCAACTCAAAACTATTCAAAGCATGAGTCCTATGTATTGTTGCCATGGCTCAGCTTATCTCAGCTTAACGCTAAAGTTGGTTTTGAGCCGTTTGCTCTGGCTGCACCAACGTGCAAAATGACAGGCGTTTTGATAGTTTCATTCATTCAGGAGATTTATTGGTATTATCACAAACTGTGTTTTTGTTCCCCCTACCCTTCTATCCTCAGTGGCTCAAAACTGACTTCGGCGTTAAGCCGAGATAAGCTGAGCCGTGGCAACACTAGTCCTATGTGTCACTCGCATTTGGTGATTCGCAGTGAGGACAGTGTTAGTAAGTTCTTGTGGATGGTGGTGAGAGACACTTGAGTCACAAACCAGGGAGTTTGGTAGAAGTTGGGAATATATAACCTTAGCTAAAGCTGAGGCTTAAGGCCACAGCATAGGCTAGCTTAAATACATGTTCACTCTACCTAATAATAAGTCCTGACCATGATTCTCACATAGAGAAGTGTGGCCTTCAACGAATGAGTGTAAAGAGTGCATGTCACCTGCATGGAAGTGGGACTCCATCTGAATAGTCCTTATCCTGTAGACCGCCCTCGACTAGTGGTCTGCATTGTCAAACCACTAAGAAGTATGATGGCACATGAGGTACATTGGTCATCTGAGATGTGACAACCAGGTAAATGGGTAGGAGGTTAAGCATGATGCAGCTGAGGTGCTGAGAGGTGCCAAGGTCTGGATAAGATAAGATAAGGAAAAATAGAGGTAAGGTCATAATAGATACAGAATGTGTGGGGACCAGAAATCAACAGGTGAGTGGTTTACTTGGTGGCAAATAAACCTGTCTCAAGACAGTTCCAAATTTTACCCACTCTGGGCACATTGCTGCAAATTTTTGTTTTAGTTCTAGGGAATATTTTTTCAAAATAAAACTGCAAAATAGGCAGATTTTGCATATTTTCCAGCATTTTATTGAGTCTTACCTCATGTCAGTTTGTTATTGGCATTAAGTACAGCTGCATCCCATTTGGTCAATGATGCACTGGGCTGTTGGGCCAGCCATTGCACCCTTCTGCTCATCATTTGGGCTCACGAAAATTATTGCTATTTTCAAAAATGATGAGATTCTCAAAAAAAAAAAAAAAGTTTTGACCCACCAGATGCCAGCCCGATCTCAGCCTGCGCCATCTGAGATAACCCACAACTGTTAACGAAACAACCTATGATGTTAATCGTCATGGCCCCTGAATGCAGACTCAGAGGTCTTTTTGCGGAGCCCAAAACTTTTTAATTTTTTTTTGAATTCTCATCATTTTTCGAAATAGCAATAATTGAGATAGAAAAAATAATATATTTTTAGTTCCTATCTTGACCCCACCAATCTGACACCTAGATGAATGCAATTGCCCCAGCCTGAATGTAGTTAATCATGAGAATATATCATTTCCAATTTGGCAGCTTAGAAATTTTTGAAGTCTGCATAAAACCTCACAATTTTGTGGTTAGGCAATTATTGTATTTATATAGTACATGTGTATGCTCTATTCTGTTAGATGTAGTATTAGTACAAGATGCACACAGACTACATATTTGATTTTTCCTGCCTTTTTCGTTTGCTATGCATAGCCTCACATCTCAGCTTTTTACCAACACGCTGAGATGTGAGTACCTCCACATATATTCATCCTAACAACATACTTATCATATTGTAATGACACTACATTGTCTTATTCAGCATTGCTTGCTCTCTTTTTCTCTCAAGCCTGCCTTCCATTACCACATTCGAGCTACCTACCTCATAACTCTCATAACTCCAAGTGGTTATGGGCCCTGCTACCAGCATGTCAATGATAACTGCCATAAAGCTAGTAAGCACAACAAAGCTCACAGATGATGGATCAAACTAGATAGTGTTTGAAGAAAAACTCACCAACAAGTTTCTCGACAAGGGTCTTGGCCAACACCTACAAGAAACTGCTCATGTACCCCCTTGCCCAGTTGAGCACAAAGAAAAATTCTACTAAAATACCAACACTGCATTTTCACACCCTCTCTTAGATGATGACCTGGAGAAGCTGGAGGATAAGCTTGAAGAGTATGAGCAGAAAGAGGCAAAGATGTGCATCATCATTTATGAATCCATCTCTGACTCTACCTTCAATGAGATCAAGGGCAAAGCAACAGCTACTCTTGTCTGGAAAAAGCTCATTGCTATCATGACTGGCAAAGGCAATCTCATATAAAAACACCTCCTTATCTGGCTCAGCAACATGTCCTGCCCTGACAAAGGCAACATGTGAAAACATCTTGGCAAAATGAAGATTCTCCATGAATGTATTGAGGGTATGGGCCTAAAGATCGAGGACAATCAGTACACCTCAATGATCCAAAAATTGCTCCCACCTTTCTATGACCACATCCACTGCACCCTCTCTGCTGCCAGCAAATTCACTGGAAAGCCTCTCATGTTGGACATCCTTGTTGCAGTACTGCACAAAGAATGGGATGAAGAAGTGGCATCAAAGGCCACAGCTGAAAATGTGGTGATGTCTGCACAATGACAGAACAGAGGGAAGGGTCAGGGCTCTGGAGGGAAGTTGAAGAAAAAGCCAGACAGATCCTATCTTGAATGCATGAACCTGGCATGTGGTAAAACTGGCCACCTCATTGCAGACTGCTGGTGCAAGGGTGGTGGAAAGGTGGGTCAAGGTCCAGCTTTGAAAAAGAACAGGGCTAAGAGAAAAGGGAAGGCAAAAGAATCAGTGTCAGCAGCCATTGATGAAAGTGATGATGAACATGTCATTGCTGTTGTAGCTGACAACAATGATGACCTAAATGTAGCTTTAATGTGCACGTCAGACTACAAGGCCAAGGGTGATGCTCACATAGCAAGAGGAGAAGAAGTTACAGCAATAGCTGATTGTAGAGCTTTGAAAACATACTCACCCAAATGTTGGAGATTCAAAAATTACACCAGCATTCACCTGAAGCTCATCAAAGCCATGAATGGAGAAGTCTTCTATGCAGTAGATAAAGAGAACCTTCAATTACCATTACCTATAGGTGAAGGTCAGAAGCCCATCATTACAAGATTTTAAAATGTGTATTATGCACCGAAAATGGCATACACCCTCATATCTCTATCACATGTCAGCTGCACTGGATTTCCCATCCACATTGAACCCACTGACTATACCATGTATATCTGCACACCATAACCTGATGCTAAAGTCATAGCTAAGATCCCCAAAGCCAGAGGCTTATATAGTCTTGTCCCCATCCATTTCAGTGAGATTTCGCTGTGTGAGAGGATTGGATCATGCCACATGAGTGGAGTGTGAAAACAGTGGACAAAAATCTCACTGAAACATCTAGGGCATTTGGGTCGCAATTTCACCTCTCTCCTGTTTTTGAAATGATAACATGAGATATCTGTTCTCATATAGAATACTGTAGCCCCTGTAATTAAAACCCACTTTTCTCATGCAAGGCTTTCATGAATGGTCTACAATTGTTTACAATGATGTTTCTGACCAAAGTTCTCAGTCAGATTCTAGTTCTGACAATTCGGACCATCTTGATATGCCTATCCCCCCATTCTCAAACCCCAGTACTGCTCCTCATGAACAAAACTGCATGTCCTCAACTCCGGATGTTGCCCAACAGGTTCTATCTGTTCTTGACCATATGAGAAATATAGGGATTACTTTAGCTGAGTTTTTGAATGCTCTCAGTTGGGGAAATGATGCATGCATCACAGATCCTAGAATTCAAGGACAGCAGACACAGCTTATGAAGAGTGAGCAGCTGCTCCAAATTATCTAACATTGGTGGAAGCCACCCTAATCCTCCACTGCTCACACACGCAAACCAGGAGCCAAAGGAGGTCGGATAGCACTGGCCAAATTCATGCAAGAGACCTGGCCCATGGTGTTGAATAATGAAATGGAGAGATTGGCAGTGTACTTCATTTCTTCATCCAAAGAAGAAGATGATGTCTTGGAGAAAAGTCTCACCAGTTTAGACTTCCCTACTATTATCAAAAAGATTCGTGAAGAAGCTGTACCCAATCTCTGGGTGACATTACATTCCCTGGCTTACACTCCTACACAAGACCATAGAAATTGTAAGAAGGATCCTGATACCATAGGTTTGGTTCCCAAAATCCCAGCTCAGCTTGCGCACTGACCAAAACCCTACAGGTCGTTCTCATGATAATTTCCATGATGTCCTATACATGCTCTCACAAATGTAATTGATTTCAGAAGGTGTTCTTGATTTACATGAAGTTCCAAGGACTCTCAGCAAAAGCTTTTGAGATTCTCCATGCCCTGGGTATCACAATGAGCTTCAAATGGACAACTGATGCTGTGACACATATGTCTCACTGATCTATGCTCAAAGTCATGGCATATATGGCAAGGTACCCATGGCTTATCTCCTATGATAATATAAACATACCCTTCTGAGTCTTCTCGCAACATCTGGACAAGAACAGCAAGCTTGGTAATGGAATGGCAGTGACAGTATACATAAAATGCACAGCAACCCCTCTATTACCCACTGCGAACCGAGACCTTCAGAGACAGAGATCTGTGGGCATGAAGAATCTGATTACCTTTGCTGATGTGATGAAGCTCGCCATCTCAGCTGAGCCTTGATTATGACCACATGCCATTCACCATGTTCTCTGTTTCATTCTAGAGGCACCAGAGTTTCAATTCATGACATATTCAGGCAGGAAGGATGATGCACTAAAAGGTCCCAACCCCATATGCAACCTTCTGCATGGGCCAGAACATAAGACACTCCAATTCTTGCTCAGGAGCATAGATATTCCTGAGGCCAGTTATGAAGATAATCTATGTCTGATTGTGGAGTTTCTGAAGCAAGTTCAGTTGGATACACTGGACAAGCAGATGGTGTTGGCGCTAAAGAACCTCATCACATGGTGCAGAGATCAACTTACCATTGATCAACTTTGTGGACTCTCCAAGTATCATGCTATGGACTCAAATTCATATGACCAGCTGGATTGGATGTTACTTGTCTTTGGTTGGTTTTACCTCATGATGGCATTTGCTCAGTCATTGCATAAGCAATATCTGGGTACAACAAAAGGAAAGGGTCTGCAAACATCATTCAATATAATGAAGCAGAAAGGCTTGCTTACCATGTTGATACGAGGGCCCTTCCACCACAATTTGGATGAGGCACTGAAGCACATTGCTGAGGCTCATATCATGCATGGATCAAGCAATGCACTAAATGCTATGGATTTACAGGGGTCGGATCAACTTGACGAAGCCAAGTGACAGAGTATCATGTTCAATCAGGACATGTTGCAATATCTGCTCTTGGATGATGCCATCAAACATGGTGATGTTGGGATGATGGAGGATTTCCTACCTCAGCTACTGTTCTGCTTTCAAGATGGTGGTAACTCCAAGTACATGACTGAGGTATTGGAGTTACTACAGGCACTTCATTGGGAATGGCCTGAGGAAGTAAAGTGAGTAGTGCAGCATACCAAAAATGATGCTACTCACTGGACTGGATACAGAAACTTTGTTCATGAGAATTGTTGGGTCCTCAACATGGCTGGCAAGTCGAACTCATATGTTGCCATTGATCAAGTGCAGGAGTATAACATCAAGGACATCAATGTTCATCAGCAATGCTGTCACCAAAGACAAAATTGATCAAGATATCTATAGGTCACCTACCATTCTGAGGGCCCAAATATCAAGTGGGATTATCTGAAGAAACTACATCCGGCCATTCCTGTTATTTGGTCCTTGTCAGAGCACATTGAAAAGCAGTTTGGAACACTGACTCGAGGCAAGAAACACACAATACCAAAGAAGAAAAAAGATGTCGAGACTCTCACAAAACTCTTTTGGGACTCTAAATATCATGACTTCAAGGCCAGGCAGAAATTACAGGCAGACAAGAATAAGGCAAGAGATTATATTGGCGATGGTATAACAAAGCTGTGGGATGGTCAGGCAATGGCAAACTGGGTCAAAAACTGATCATTCAAACAATCCACCACTGAAGACTAGGTCAATGATAGTGACATCAGCAATGATGACAGCAACAATGAGAATAGGGAAGATGAACCAGGTGATCAGGCTGGAGGCCTATAAGTTGGTGCTGAACTGTCACCATTGAACCAATGAGAATCATTAGGATTATATAGCATCAACAGATAGGCAGCCACATGGTTATAAAACATGCTAGGGGTCAAATAGCTGATGGCCTATAAGCATATATAAAAGTACTAGATACATGGAGAAGAGTTAATGTGAGGCACACCAGAGAGTGTGAATACAACACATTATTGGATGGTGTCAGAGGACTTTGTGGTATCCATTGATGACCTGCTTCCTTCTCTGCTGCCTTCCTTGCCTTTTCCTCTGCTCGATGTGCCTTCTCTCAGCATTCTCTCTGTGCACATTCCTCTGCTGTCTTCTTTTTTTTTGCCTCTCAACATTCCAATGTTTCAGTATTTCGATGCTTATAGTAATCATTGTCATACTTCTTCAACAATTGCAAAACCTCCTTGCCATGTACATCAGCAAATATTCATAGAGGATTGAGGGACTTGAGGTTGTCAAGAGTTCGCAAACGTGCATTTGAGGCCAGAGATGAGATCATCTTGTTGGGAAGGAGCCCAGGTGCAGTAAATGATGCAGGGAAGTGTCACAAATTCACCCCTATTTTTCACTTTAGTCATTTGCTTCATGTCATTCTTCCTCGATCGTCATCCAATTCTCATCATCACTCCTATCCAGTTCATTTGTAACCTGCTTGCTGATACTCCTGTATCATACCATATGTCCATCACCATATCATTGTTCTGATCATCAACAGTCACTTCCGCATCACTTGATCCCTGGTTCGTGGTGGACGAGCTCAGGCATTCTTACTCAGATGGAGTCCTGACCACAAGGGACACCGCTCTTCCAGAACCTCGCTCACCTCATTGGCCGCTCACCATTGGGTACAGTGTAGGACCAGTCCATGAGATGGCCAAATTAAGAAGGACAATGGAGGGATAACAGGAGCTGTTTTATGCCTGATTGGGCATCGTCAGCAGGAAGTGTGCTATTCTTAGAGTATAACTGTACTATCTCCAGCTGACATTTGTACTGAAAGTGCACATGCCAGAGGGCATCAGTGTGAAATCATCTTATCACAGGATTCCTACTCAATGAGACACATCATGTCACACTGGCAACTTACCGGCAATGCTCAATATGATAATCAGGATCTAATCAGATTGATACTGATCATCAAGCACAATTCCCTCCTCCTCCTCCTCCTTGCTGGTATCCTCATCACTGGAGAGTGCTTCGACCTGATTCTGAGTGTACTTTGGGAAAGCCTTTTCTATCTCTCCAAAATCAGCTAACTTTGGCTTATCCCCATGAGTTGAGTGCCCATTTCTTTTCTTATCTTGCCATTCTAGCAGGGACTGATGGAAGCATTCATGCTTTTTGTTGTTCCTGTCCACACGTCTCTTATCTTCCTTTGCCCACCAAGCTGTTGCCTTTATCTGTTTGCATTGCAACAGCACGTGTTGTGCCTTTTTCTTTCTTGCCCTTTCTGCCTCTTCCTTATGAGCAGTGACCACCCCAAAGAAGGCATCCCCAGTCATCATTTTTAGCAGGCCATTGCCCATGATGTCTCCTCTCTTCCTTTTACTCTTCTCCTTTGCTGACTGCAGCTGCAGCTGTGACTGACCGATGTATATGTTTTGCAAAACTGCAGTTGCCTGCATCCCAATCATACTCCCTTTCCAGCATATATTCTGACCTTCTGACTCTTGCAAAGCCTCACATAAGTTCGCTTCATGCTTTGTTTGCAGCTCCTGATTGAGGAGGTCACTGTATTTCCTTTTTAATGGAGATATTACTGATGTTACAAATTTTGGAGGACTCAATGAAGCATGGAGGGGTGCAGATGACACAAGAAATAATGCTGAAGATGACACAAGATCTTTGAGGATGCTCAGTGGAGTTGGAATACTGTGTAGAGACCTTCCAGGCTAGCTTGGGGAGAAGACAAATGGTCAACCTGATGGCCAAATCACTGGTGCCTGAGGTTCAGGTGTGTCTGACCTGTCATTGTCATTCACATACTGATCCTTGATGCAGGAGGTCATCAGCTTTGACATGTGTTGCACTGGACTGGACTGCAGTGTAGGCATCACACCCTCCATTGATGTTGTGAGACTGGATGCCATCATCTCCTCACTGATCATGTCAGGATTGAAAGGTATGACACCTGTCTTTTTAAACACTGCCATAATATTCTCTGGAGTGAGCATGGCCACATGAGCAATGCTATAAATTTTCAGGAAGTTTGATTTCATGACTTTTTGATTTGTTCTCCGTTCGTATTCATCATGCACCTCACTCCACTGCTGCTTTACAATGCTGAAGATCACAACATCAAGGCCCTGATATACATGGGTGGAGTGTGAAGGATAGCAGAGCACTTCAATGGCATGGGTACATGTGTATTCCAGAAACTCACATGTGTAATGGGAGTTATGACCATTCACCAGGAGCAGATGATGATGGCCTGCCGCTTTTCTCTTGGTCTTCTTGTTGAAGTCCTTTATCCATTCAATGCCAATTTCCTGGTCAGTATATCCTTTCTTCTGATATCCAATCCTATCTTCTGTGAGTTTGATGTTACTGATTAAGCATATTTACTCATGACATGTTTAAGGGATTATTCTGCTTCCATGATGTTTGATAACCTTCACCTTTGAATATAACAGCAGGAGACAACCATGTCCCATCTGCGCAAATAGTTGTGATTATAGTGATGTTCTCCCTGTCTCTGCTCCATTGTTGGTGCTGGATCTTTGCTCCTTGTGGGCCATAAACCCTTTCTTTTACTCCTATCCCAGACTGAATTCCAGTCTCGTCTGTCCTGTAGATCAACTCTGGGGGGATGACATCATCCCCACCACCTTCTTCAATCATGGCTTCCAAGAGTGTAAAGAACTCTTCTTTAGTGTGTGGGTTTACAGCTCGTGCATGTGAGTGATCCAGAGGGTGGGACCAAAATGATTGAATTTCATGAGAGTGTTTTTCCATGAAGTGCTTTGCCCAGTTCTGCCTACACCCTTTGCTGGAAACTCGCCATCGGCTCCATAACATGCCCAGCAAATTTCATTTACATGCTCTGTAAGATGATCTTTTGGCAAGTTTCCTTCAAGCATTCCTTCTCCAACTCCTCGCATATCTTTCTCAGTCCCTTCCTACTTTCTCCAGGTCTCAATGGCTGTGACATCTCTTCTTGATACTTTTTTTCTGCTTTTTCCATGTATACATCATAGGCTTCATGTGTTATTTATGTCTTTTTTGTCATAGACTTGGTGCGTCCAACCATTATGGCAATATAAAGCTGTCCACAGCGGATTTAGACGTGGATATATGTGATGTGAATAAAAGCCAATTAGTGATGCATAGAGAAGAAGAAAAATGTCCAGATTGGGTTAGTGTGTCCCAATATGGTAATTGATGGTGTGACAAGATAAGCCAGGCTGAAGTCAACTGGCTTTTACTCCTCAATGCTCGCCTGATCTCACACCCCCAAATATGGTGTAATTATCCTTACATATGGTATAGAACTTCTTTTGTTCCTTACCGGAGTGATCCCACATCCAATATGAACTACAGTGACCTTTTATTGCTGAGACTGTCTCATTTGGATGGTATATTGTCAGTTGCAATAGTATTATGCATCTAATTGCCTCGGAAATTCATCATTATTCCATGTACATATCATATCATAGTTTCTGCATAAAGTCTGAAGCTAATTCACCCATGAGGGAAGCACCCGGGCCAGGTGTCTCATGGACCAGTACTGTCTCATAGACCACTACTGTCTCATGGACCATCAAAGAGTACTGACCCCCGATCCAGAGAGAGTAAATGGGCTCAATGGCTCACCAAGAAACGGACCCAGACCAGATGTCCCTCAGCCCAAGCATGAAGGCCCCAGGCTTCAAACCCTACCCTCCAATGAAAATGTCACCCCAATGGTCAACCATTTCCCTTCAAACCAAGTGGAAGAGAGCAGTGACCAAAGTAGTGCAGAAGGTAGGGCTTCCTTGGGAGAAGAAGATCTCAGATGACTCAGCATCCCTACAGATGACACAGAGTCATCAGACTCTTCCTCACAGCTATCAGCCACCATATTCAATGCAATCAGAGAACACCTCTATCAGCGAGGAACCTGAAGGTTCTACGTTGACTTGGTTGCAGGAAGAATCATCGCAGATGGAAGCAATGAGATATGCCTCATCGATTCAATGACAGGAGAAGATGTCACAGAGGAGTACTTCCGAGCAAACCATGAGTGGTATGTGGGAGGTGGAGATGATGAGGAAGACTCTGGAAGAGACTCTCCTGCCTTTGCAGACCTCCACCCTGGAGACCAGCAGTTTAGCAAGGATTACTGGACAGGTAGTACTGGATCCTGGGACAAGGATAATCGAGAAAACTCTGGAGAGTCAAGTAGGGACAGTTCCTCACCTGGAGGAAACCCTTTCCTCCCTACCCAGGGACAGAGACTGGCAAGAGAGGCTAGAACAGATGCAGCAAGAGCAGAAGCATTGAGACAGTGAGAGGATGAGTCAGAGGATACTTGGGTTACCATGCCAATCTCCCCAAACAGCACTCCAGTCATTCCTGACCTCAGGTTCATTGTACCAGGAACCCCGACCAGCTCCTCTGGAAGCACCGTATCCTGGTGCTCACAAGGAGGAACCTGTAGAATCCTTGGAGTCAACACTCCACCATGCCTTACTTCACCGTACCTGCAAGTTGGAGAGCTTGGCCTCAGCTGGAACAATGACCCAGCCCTCAATCCTCGCTTCAAGCTCCCACCCTATGAAGACCAACATTGTGCCCCAGCAATTGGAGATACCCTTTCTGGAACAACCACAGTTGACACAACCTCCTTAATTGGAGGAACAGTCAACACCATTATCACCAACTATCCCAAGTCTGAGGACCCAGATGACCTCCCAATCAATGAGACACCTTCCACAGACAGGGGATATGACACTGACACCCCAGTCGAAATTCCTTTTTGCTGGGTTATCTTCCCAAGTAGTACCCCCAATGGGTACCAAATTCTTGAGTGGTGTGAAGAAAACCAATCCCTTCAGGATGGGGTCAATCAAGGCCCTGTCCCAGCAGAACTCAATGAAGCACATCCAGGCAAGCCCTACTGTGGGTGTGCCATCTGTTGGCAACTATGAGAGGTTGCCAGAAATCGAATTGGACCCCTCCCAGAGCTTGAGTCCTTCCTCTTCCTTTATTATGAGCACGTCTTCCACCAAGAAGACTATGCTGACTGACTGGATTCCTGGATCTGAGCTGTACTTGAAACTGAGCACCAAGCAAGCGCTGGAGACTACAACAATGAGCCACCCTACAATGAGGGAACAGGCAAGTTTGTCCAAGGATCCAGCACTAGCTTTAACATCAGATGAAATTTATAATTTAAGCTGGAATCAAATGTGGCAATGGACCTGGAGATGCCTCCCTTATGAAATATCTTGGACCACGTCAGAGCAAGGAAGAGCATATCAGGCCGCCCCCACAGGCTCTTAATTAGAGAGAAATATATTATCCATTGAAACCCAACATGCGACAACCATATACTGGAATGACATACAATCCTGATCAACGACTGGAAGTAAGGGGACACTATCAGGTTCCAACTTTATCTCCCTCTGACTCCTCCCATAACACAAGACAGCCTCTCCACGACACACACTTTGTACCCTTGGCTGTCCTCGGACTATGAGCTGGAGGGCAAGGCTTGGAACATCACCTATGCAGCACCACCATGAGCCCTGCTGGAAAAGGAGATGGATCAGCCCCACCTGACAGAGGAGGCAGAGATGGGCCCAGTGAACCCAGCAGTGGAGGAGGCAGACCACCGCTGCCCCCTCCACCTGAGAGACCACCATCACTGCCAGGAGACAATTCAAATCTCTGATCACTTTCATGCCCTGCAAATCTGCCACTCCTGCCTAACTCACCAGACAGCTGGGCAATCACTGACAGACAGCCAAACCCTTGGTCTGGCATCAAACCCATATTAATTGAGAAGCCAGACCATTTCTATGGAAAGGCTGGTGACATCAATAGGTTCTTCACCCATTGCAGCTACTACTTTGAGGCTTATTTCCAATACTTTGCTCTTAACAAAGCCCATGGATATGACTCCAGCTGAGTGGTGTTTGCTACATTCTTTTTCAAAGGGCAGGCCATGCAATGGTGGGTGGATCAACAATGCAAGTATTGGGACCCTATCTCACATCAACACCATGTCCCAATATGGGAAGCATTCCAACTAAAAGTTCATGAACACCAAAGGATGGTTCTAGCGAGTCTAGTCAGGCACCTCTGTGTGGTGACTAAAGCTTTCTAAGTTCGGAACAATAGGGAATTACCTCTACTAGTAGCATAGAGGGTAGTAGTGAACATTAGGTTTGCAAGAAGGGAAATAATTAGGAAAGAGGTCCTAGAAGCAGCCTTAAAGATTAATTAGTACCTGTACAAATACTATACCTTGTTATTGCAACTCTGGCTGTGAGTGCAATGGTGGAGGTTTCTAAATAAACGGGTAGCCATTCCAAGTTCTGGCTATGAACTTAGAAGTGTTAGCAAATAACTTAATTTGTGTGGCAAGGTTGGTTCGAGGTAATGAGAATTGGTTGGATACTCGATAAGACTTTCTCTGGCTGCGAGAAGATGAAGGCGTTGGCATGGCTGATGAAAATGCTGTCTCCTAGCTGCAGAAACAAGTGAATTGGTTGGTGAAGCAAAATAATCAAAGAGTTTCTAGTGGTAGGACTCCTTAGTATTTCATGTAGAAGGTAGAAAAGGTGTAAAAGCACAAGTAATCACTCAGGGTTAACTGTTGCTTAGAGAATTAAAGGTTCAGAATAAAGTGTTGGCAACAAAATGTCTTTATTGCACTACTTCGAAGGGTGTATGGTGAGTGATGTAGGTGTTAGGTATCAAAGGTAAGTGTAGAGAATAATCTGGGGTTTCCCTGATTTGCCCCCTCTTGGCTACCAGCTTGCAAACTTAAATACTCACTACACTGACTAACTAAGCTATCTTACTCTAGCACTAGTATTACTATAGCACACATTATTCAAGTTCTTACCAAGAGTCCTCACTAATCAGCTTTCCAATACTTTCGATGATTAACTCTCTATGGCTGCAGCTGACTTGCCATAGTTTTAACTATGCAATGTGTTTTGTAAGGCCACACGTGGATAATTCATGACTGCAGGGGGGGTTTCATGTGGGGTGGCAGTGCTGGTTCTAGACTGTGAGGCACAAAGTCTGCAGAGAGAAGGGCAGGATCAATAGGACTGATGCTGATGACATCATATGCAAAATAATAACTTTGTGTGCTGTGTACCAATCAACTTGGTTTAAATTGCATCTTGCTTGCAACTATTGAATTAGAGAAAGTCTGCTAGAGGGACTAAGTTGATGAATTGTAGTTGGTTTCCACAATTTCAGAGCACACAGAGCCTAGAGGCTCATCAATGCCCTGCAGGAACTGAAGGATCCAAACCCAAACCCTCTGGTAGGATCTCGGGGGGAGGCAGAGGTGACAAAAAGGATGCCACTGGAACCACCTATGGGGGCAAAGGAGAGCCCATGGACATCAACCACCTCAGATGAGAAAAACAGTGTTTCTAATGCGGGCTACCCAACCATGTCACAAAGGACAACAAGTGCCCCCCTGACAAATCGAAATGGAAGATTAAGCCCAAGAAAAGCAACCCCTTGGCGCAGCGACTCCGAGCTGTTCTAGCCAAAATTGAAGAGAAAGGACTAGCGAACTCTACAAAGGTCGAGGAAGTAAAAGAGACACCAGCAGAGAACTAAGCAATTCTTTTTCGTTAGCTAGAACTCATGTTTCTCTTAGTACATGCCCAATTATGAATAGCCATGCTTATGGTGTACCTGTAGGTACTTGTACAAATATATCAATGATTATGTGCACTACCAAGACCGAATCGCAAAGCAATTATGATGTAGAGGAAGATTATCATCGCTCACAAAGCATT